GGCACATAACAACAACAACATAGAAATTGTTGTCTTCTTCTCTCTTACTTCTTGATAAAAAAATTATTTGGGTGGTAGCCAAATAATAAGACCATTTCTTACTGTGAACTGAACCCTAGCTTCTTTGATCTAGTAAACTCTTAAGTCCTTTGTAGATGAGCATTATTATCCTCATTTTGTAGATTGAAAAATAGCATCCTGAAAGAGGCAGTGAAATCTAAGAGATTAGACCCTTATCCTTCGTTGTTGTTTTCATTTTTTTTATTCTGAAATATCTAGACCAGCTCTAGCAACTTTAAAATCAAAATAGCATATAAATGTGGTAATATTTTTTTATTTTATTATTTTGTGTGTGTGTGTGTGTGTGTGTGTGTGTGTGTGTGCCGTCAAATTGGATCTGACTGGTACAGGAGGAGATGGCCCCTCCTTTTCTGGCAGAGCATCTGGTGGATTCGAACCGTATATCTCTGGGATTGCAGTGCAGTTTCTTGCCACTAGGCCACCAGAGCTCCCCTAAATATGGTAATATTTTAAAGCATTTGATCATGTAGTGCTGGTACAATGAACATGTTCTTATTTGTTGAAGATAGAGTGACTTTATGAGACATGAGACATACTTTGGTAGCAAGTGATAAATGCAGCCCATTTATTCTACCCCTCACCAGTTCACAATATTTTTGTACTGCCTGAGAAAAGGAGTCTGATGGTACAATTGTTAAGCACTCAGCAATTTGAATCCACCTAGATGCTTCCCAGGAGAGACACCTGATAATCTGCTACTCCTGTAAAGAGTATGACCCAGAAAATGCCGTGGGGCAGTTCTTCTCTATCACAGTGGGATCATCGTAAGCTGAAAATTGACTCAATAGCACACAGCAAAAACAGTATCTTTGAGAGAACCATGAAAATGACGTAGACAAGCTCTGGGTTGAAAGCAGACATCAAGCAGAACTTCTAACTTTGGGAAGATATTTAACCTGAGTATGTAGAATTCAGGAGTTGAGTTAATTACAGTAAACTTTAGGAGTTTACGTTTTCCCCTGTACGTGGGGAAAATAGACATTCTCAGGTTTGGGCTGGTGACTCTAAGTGGGCTGTGACTGTAGAGCAGCTAACCACAAGGCATTTCTTTCATGGCTCCTGTGAATGGGTTTGAGCTGCTGTCCTTTTGGTTAGTAATAACTGGTTACTGTGCCACCTGGCCACCTACAGGGAGATGGTAAAGCATCCCCATGGGAAACCCCTGCTTAGTCACTGTGAGTCTGTGATGTAAAATTACTGGTTATTGGGAAAGGAGTAGGCATTGTTGTGCAAATTATTATGTCATTGTTGTTAAGAGCTCTCGAGGTCTCATAGTGACCCTATGAATGAAAGACTTGAATACTTGTATAACTTTAATCGTTCCTCCATGTTCATAGAGTTTCCAGAGCCAAGCCATTTCGGAAGTGGACTTTATGTGTTGGTTTGCTGGCTAGATTTTGTCTGTCCTGTAATTGTGTGTGTGTGCTAGATTTTGTCTGTCCTGTAAGAGAGTGTGTGTGTGTGTATTTGCTTGTATATGCGCTTTAAGACAATTTTCGGAGCAAACTTGTTTCCCCGTTAGACAGTCTGTACATAAAATGCTCGGTGGTATTGGTTCTGATCCCCACAATGTGTTAGCACTCTCCCCGTCTTGCCCTGTGTTCCCTACTTCCTTTCAGCCAAATTTTCTGCCCTTCCTACCTTCTTGTCTTTGCTATTGGGAAATGTTGTCCTTTTGTTTTCATATAATTGATTGCGCTAAGGAACACATTCCTCTCAGGTGTTACTGTTTATTTCTTTGGGAAAAGGATGGACAGTGTGCTCCTGTGGGATTTACTGCCTCTGGAAACCCTCTGGAGGCTCAGCTATAGGTCGGTTCTGACTCGACAGTACATGACGTACATACTTTATGGAACTCTGTGGCTTAGTGGTAAGAAACTGTGCTGCCAATGCAAAGGTATGCTGTTCGAATCCATCAGCTGCTCTACTGGAAAAGGATGAGCAATCTCTTCATATGTGATTTACTGCCTGTGAAAACCCACTAGAGGGCCAGCTATGGGATGGTTCCAACTTGAAGGTACACAACAACAATAACACATACTTTGGACATGTTAAGAGGGGCCATACCTTGAAGAAGGACATCATGTTTGAAAGGTGGAGGGTCAGCAAAAGACAGGAAGACCCTCAACCATATGGATCGACACAGTGACTGTGACATTGGGCTCAACTGTGCTCTCGATGGTAAGGATGGCACTGAATAGGGCAGGGTTCAGAGCCATTGGTCATAGGTTCATTTGATTACATGTTACAACAACAACAATAATAATCTACCATTTTGCTGGAAGGTGGTCTCAGAACGATTTTTGTTCCAGGTCGGAATGTGTTTTAGGGTCGTAGTCTGAGGAGGTCCTTGAGCATCTGCCAGACCAATGAGTCTGGTCTTTTCTGTAAACTTGACTTTTTATTCTGCTTTTCTTCCTTCCTTCCTTCCTTCCTTCCTTCCTTCCTTCCT